AGCCGTTCAGGAGGAGGAGTATTTTTCAAACAAAAGCCTCAGGAGTGTAGTATAAGTATATAGTATGTAAGTATGTAGTATAAGAGCTTCGGTCGCTCCGCTCAATTATTAAAATGCCCAGCTAAACTGTAAAAGGGGTGTTGGTCAACCAACAATACAATTCTTTTTAGAAATGTTTATTGGAGGATAAAAAGGCAAAAGTAGTCTTGTTAAGATTTATAAAAAAATGTATACAGTATATGATATTCACTTAAGCACATTTTTCAATAATTATCCATGGAATAGTACCATAGGTAAAGGTGAACTATGATAGTACAGTAATCTTTGTTTAAAAATTCAATATTCCATTATTGAATATATTTATGTTTTTTTGGAAAGTTGAATGTTTACTATATTGGTTTTCTTAAAAATATAGAGATTTTAAAAGTCAAGAGTTTGGTTTTTGAAATTTATATAAATTTGCAATGACAATCATTTTTTAAAACAGCGATTAACATTAATATCTTAAATAAGAAAGTTTGTAATTCATAAGACTTTCTTGGAATTTTGAAAATAAATTTTGCATTTAAAATTATAATATATATTGCATATGAGAGAGAAACAAAATACCCTTGTTTTTAGATCTGTAACATTTTACAAGATGTCATATCAAAGTATTCACACACAATTTGTGATTAGTTCTCCTTAGAGGAAGAATACCATTACACGGGAAAGCGAGCTTTATTGCAGGCAATGTAGAAACAATAAAAGGTTCATCTGTAAGATGGCCATAGATCTTACTTGTAGGATTTACATTCACGGCTAGCCTAAGATTTACATTCACGGCTAGCTTAAATACACCATATTATAATGAAATAGTGGAGAAAGAGAAAACAAATTTCTTTATTTTATGTACCTGTATATTATAATCAATTGTAGACTGTAAAATCAACCTCTAGAAAGATAAAGTCTCTATATTATAATATTACATTTCATATGACTCTTTTTCCCAAAAACTACTTTTGCCAACTAAACATCTTGTTTTAAAACATCCCTCCTTTTTTTAGTGATTCTACTGAAAATCGATTTTAGCTCTTAACATTATTTCTGTACACATACTTCCATGAGTACATAGGACATAAAGCGAAGCAATCTCTTTATAAGATGAGATTGAAAACAGCTCGCCGCAAATCTCTTTGATTCTAAAGGATGGTGAATTTATAATGCTATTAAATCTCTGTATGTGGTTGTACTTCTGTCGTTTCAATAAGCAGTTTAGCATTTCTTGGAGTTTCAAAGAGTATGGTTTACTCTTTTTTAAACAGCGTTATAATAAATAAATAAAGCTTAATACCTCCAACCAACCAAACAAACCTTCTTTATTGGTTTGTCTGGAAATAATTTTCACTCACCAACATTATTATACCACCAGCAGCATTGAGCACCCTCTTTAAACTTTTAGACCTTTAATACCTATGAATCAATACAGTTCCTCTGTGGTGGCATATCTCATATAAATATTGGATTTCTTTCTGTTCAGCAACCAACAATGTTAGAAGTAAGGATTTCCAGTCATTGCATTCCTCTACAGACTAAGGAGTATCCATAAGTTATTATTTATCACTCACATTTTTTTTAGAATCCGTCACTGATTGAATGTTCATCTAAATCAATAGTTCAGATGTACTTCTGGATGTTTAACCTCATTGATCTAAACCGTCTTATCTATTGAATATCTAATATTTTATTTTTTATTACTTCCTAAAATACCCATGGCAAAATTTATGTAGTCTGTTTTGATTCATAGTCAAGTAGAATGTTGGACTTGTATTGGACTGATATTAGACAGTGCAAAATTTGTTAATTATAATGACTAATTTTTTAATTAGCTAATTCAAAATCCTTTTTACAGCTTAAGTGAATTTATGAAGTGCAATTTTCATGTAACATTTTAATTAAAATGAGTTATTATGCTTAAATGTAATTGATGTAATTTTATAATAAGAAATTTGATCAAGAAGAAAATTGACATGTCATATTTCTTTGTAAAAAGATCAATCAAATGAATTATTCTTATTCTCCTACAAACAAACTTCGTGAGGTGTTAACAGCTAATAATAATATGATCTGTACAAACTTCATTACTTTTGTATGATTGAAGAAATAAGTAGATCAAATTAAAATTACATCTGGCGTCTTTATTTGTTAGACTAAAATATCTACAAACATGTTTTTAAAATTTGTTTGATGCTTAAACTTGTAATATGAAACTTAAAAAAAAGAGCACAGATAAAGTAGAAATCTTTCTAATATGGATTTACTTCAGCAATAGTAAATAATACTTTGAAACACATGAGTTGCTTGGTATTGAGTACCTTCAGTACGCAGCGTGCAACATTGAATGAGGTATCTTCGATTTGAACAACACTGTCTACAAACAGTAACAGGTCGTTGGGTTCAAATTAGCACTATCTGGATTAATTGTCTCCTTATCAATGTGGCTGTGGTTTGCTGAGGATATGTCCTTTCATTGCTTGAGAGTTTTAAACACAAACATTACTTTTGTGTAATGTAGAGTTTGTGATAGTGGGGAAATAATGGGTGTCAGTAGTTGATGTCAGAAGTGGTTCAAGTATACAATAATCTGAGGAAAGTAGTTATTTTTTTAAGAATCAACTTAGACATTTATTCTGTTTCACCATGTCGTATTTCCTTATGCCTAAACAGTAAGTTACTCGTATGTTAATTTTTGTTGAGAGACAATAGGCTGACGGCTCCTTTTAATATTGGTTTGAGCCTAGAACTTCTGTTTTAGAGTTGCAGGTTCGAATCCTACCAATCTCTGACATAATTTACCCATATGATAAAACCATAGCCCAGTGCTTCTGAGCCTACTTTCATCTTGTCCACTTAAAATATACGTCTTTTAGTGAAGGAGCACTTTCTGTGTATTGGCATTCTTTGTAGTAAAAGCTTTACAATGTTAATAATAATAAACTTCAGTCTAATGTGTTGAACATGTTGAAAAACTTACAACACTCCCAAACCCAGTGCATTAAAAGTAATGGCGTCACTGAGATACAGACCCTCAACATAGCTGCTATGACTGTACAGTGTACAGTCTGCTGAACTATTAACTGAGCCACCAACATTCTAGCCCAGTTAATGTAATACAGCATATATACTTAAAAAATAACAATGGTTAAATCAAGTTTTCCCCACGGATTTATTGGAGGTTTCTCAAAGTGTTTTCATGATAATATATATAATATATAATAATGATTTGTCATTCTTTGGTTCATGAGTTTTGTGGGATACAAGGGTGTTAAATCATACTTTATACGTTTTGCTGTCAGGGGAACCTCAGAAAACACTATAAGTGTGTGAAATAAATACATTAAAAAAATATATATTTACTACTAAAATATCGAGACAAGGTTAATTAATTATTTCGTTAAGGACCTAAGCAGTGGAAATCTATCCTAAATTTAACAGTACAATATCTACAATTCCTGAAAAAAACATGGGTTTAGGTTAGAGGTTTGTCTGACTTATTATAGGACTTGGGCAACAGAGGCTTCGCTCTTTATGTAAGAGACTGGTACTATACAGTGGAGCCTTGATAGGAAGACCCTTGATAACAAGTGTCATATTCAAATACCCTTTTTTTAATACTACCCTAATTACATGTTATTGCAAAACTCTATAAGCAGTTAACCTTGATTACAAATCTTATTCGATAATAATTTAAAGACTTGTTATCAAGGTTGTACTGTACAGGATGGCCGACTGTCAAGTAGGTTTATATACGACCATGTACCAGTATGTGCCATATGTTGTCTTAAGATTCTGGGTTAAATTTCAGCCAGTCAGCAACGGCATACTTATCAATTTACCTATGTGATTACTGACGGGAAGAGTCTGTGACGTCAAAAAATTCTAGAAAAATCATGACAGATATTATAAAAAACCTTGGATACTTTTAAATAAATATACCAATATCATATTCTTATTATATGTTTTTAAATGTAACAATAATTTATACTATGCTTATGGTGTTTACTGTTGATTGTAATTTTAACCTCCTGTTTAGCCTTTAAGTGCCTTTTAAGCACAATGTTTGATGACAAATGTAGGTTTGATCCTTCAAATACTGATTGTATGGATTTGTTAACAGTATCCCTCGGAATTTAATTATGTAGCCTACATTGAATAGTAGATATTTTTATACTTTGTCGCTATCTAATAATATTCGAAAACATCTAATATAGTTATGGTTATGCCTGAAACTTGAAACACTTGCTCAACTCCAACAAAATTGTGTGGTGAATCATATGGATCATGACTCATCTGGAATTCTGATAAAACTAATACATAACTTGAACCAATTCATTTGACAAATTCCTGCAGTTTTGATGGCAAATCAAAGTGGTTGGTATTGATTCATAAAGATACACAAAGGTACACTTTAGTTTTTATGAGAAAAATGTGCTGAGAGGGAAGTATGATGGGGATTAAAAACCCCAAAATTATTGATCATAAGGAGAGACATTCACTAATTTAGTACTCACAAGTTTGATGTTGCTTACAAAAACACTAAATCTAAGTGAATATAGTTTGATCAATTGTGCCAATTGTCATCACTATGTTGATAGTTTTACTAATAAGTAAAAATCATGATTGGTAATTGGCAAGTAGCTCAGTCAAAATGGATTTTAAAACCTACGAAAACAATGCCAAGGGTTTCATTTGTCGAGCTTCCAGTAAAATGTATTAGTACAGTTCACGCTTCTAATGTATTGGCTCACCACTTGTTTTGCTTCAATTCATTCCCCCACACATGTACAATGTAAGTGTAAGTTTAAATCAACCAACCTAATGTTCCCATATCTTTGTTGTTACCATTGTTCAGTGAGAACGGTTGATTGAACCAAATGCTAACACTAAGCTCATGATTTTAGTTGATCAGTAAGAACAATAATTAACTGTGTCATGTTAATACTAAGTTGTGGTTGTTACAGTTGATCAGTAAGAACCATGATTGACCCAAGCTCTTCAGAGGAGGAGAGTGAGGATGAGCAGCATCATCATCATCATCATGGTCACTCAGAAGACTCTCATCACTCTCACTCTCACTCCCACTCTCACTCCCATCCTCATCACCGAGAGCCTCGTGCTGACCCCCACCACCACCGCCATGATGACCACTCCGGTGGCAACCTGGAGGTGCCTGCCTCCAACGCCAGCCTTCCCAGGTCAGTAGATGACTCAAACAATCTAACCTACCTCTTTTATAATCATCAATAATGAATTGTTGTAGGAACCAGGCGATTTTACAAGGTTTAACGGGTTATAGAAGGGTCTTGGAAGAGGTCTTTGAAAAGCAAGTGTTAGATCAGAGTTCCAAATGTTGTAAAATGACTTTGGAATTATGTAGATTTAATCATGATCTGTTAGGTAAAAGAAGTTTTGAGTTAGTTAGTTGTGGAGTGGTTAGTCTATAACTGACAATGAATATCAAAATACAATCTAATCTAGGTTGTATAAATGTTGACTATGGTAACTATACTTGGAGTTTATATTATATAGGTTCTAAGCAAGTTTTGGATCTGTATCTCTATATAATGGACTCACTGTCTCATTAGAGTATAGCTAATTATCATGAATGAAACATATTTTCAAATAGAACACAGATTTAAAAGGCATAAAGACGAATAACAATACATCATTTGTTGGTGTTCATACTGATTCTTTCAAACTCTTACTTCCTCGTCAAATAAATTGACTCATAGAATATGAACAATACCCCTGTCGCCTCACCATGATTTTTGTTTGTAATAAAACGTTTTAACAAATAAAAACTATTCAGAATAACAATACTATTGTTTAGTAAAAAATCTTGGTAAGGGTTCATTGAGGCAAAAGGGGGTTTTATCTTAAAAATATAAACAGTGAAGTTGCTTCAATTAAAACAAACCTGATCTTTCAGAACTCTGAGAAAAGTTAATTTAATTCAACTGGATGGTGAACAATCATAAATTTTCTTCCAAATATTGAATGGCAGAATTTTAAGCTCTAAGTTATATTAATCAAATATGATTAAGCAGATAATAGATATTATTAAATGAGAAACCAAAAAATCAAAGTTATGTACTTGTAATGAAAAGACATGCTGGGGCTCCAGTTTTTATTCTTAAACTTCGCCTGAATACTCTTGGCGCTTGACGTACACATATATAACAACAGCAAGTATAACATCTAGGCTAGTCAGACCATCGATTTACCTAACATAACTGAATTGCTCCCTGAATGCTAGTGAAAATGGCCTACTACTCCCCCACCACTGGTGTAAACGTAGCAAACGAGAGCATTAAAGTAACATTGTATTTGGATCAATCGTTCAATTTCTTGACTGGGTTGTCAACACAGCATTACTTTTATATCATCATCAATGTTTTGGGTCAGGTTATTTTTTAAGCACTATTTAAAGTAGTTTTACAGTAGAACCCATGATATCCGACCACCTCAGAGGAGCCCATACCTATGCCGGATGATGATTTGGCTGGATAAATCAATCAAATTTGAAAATAGGCCGTACAACCTCAAAACATTAGAGAGTTGATAGTTCTGTTTAAAAAGGCTAAATCTAATTTAATTGGAACATGGAAAATGCTACTAGATTGAAGTTAGTAAATAAAGCCTGTCTAGATACTAGAACTAGATTGTTGCTTAACTAAACCAGAGTATTAGTGTACGTACATAGAATAATGGAACATATTTTAGATGGTTTGTAAATGAATATTCTGCTTTAAACCAGAAAGACATTGACAATTAGAAATGCTTAAAACGATTTTATTTATTTTGTGAAATGTCAAAACACATTTTTTCCCCCTGAGAAGGGTCTAGTAAAGCGGGCAAAACCTGAGGCTGAGTATGAGGGGTTCTTCTGTAGATCAATTTTAGTAACACAACAGATATTTATTATATATTCTTGTATTGGTATGGAATTTAATATTATGAATGGTATTTAGTTTGATCTGATTAGTTTATCCAATTTAATGATTTGTTATTTTGGCTTGGTAACTAAACTATGGGTAATCGACTAACCAATTAAAATGGTAATGAAAAAACTCTACTCTATCCTTTGTGTCGTGGTTTTGTCATACAATGCTTCATGGAATCAGGTGGTCTGTAATCTGCTGCATGAGAGTAAAAAGGAGTAAACTTAACATAACATTTTACTATTGATCAATTAAGTTTGCTTGAAATTTGAATGACTACATGATTTACAATACTGACTTAGACTGTAAGTTTTGTAAGTACTATAGTTCTTCACAACAAAATCATATAATTTAAATAAATTTTGAACTTTGCGTGTGATCTGATGTAACTTTTCTCTTATTATTATACAGGGATATTAACCTTAGAATATATTAAAAACATCAAATAGGGGCTGCAACAGTTTATGGGTTTAAAAGGTACAGCTTAAATTTCAGAGTGGATTGCGTCTTTTTTAAGTAGCAAATTAATTACTAAAAAAACATTATATCTGCTCAAAAAAATGTTACAATCTAAAATAATAACTAAAACACTGTAATTTACAATTTGACAAAATGTGTTTTCATTTAATATAAACATTTGCTGGAGCATATTACTCACTTATGTATATAGTACATAGCCAGTGGAATGTTAAGTCAAACTAACCATTCAGGCATTTGGACAAAAGCCCAATTAGACTGCCAACAACATTGTATGCTTTGTAGCATTAACTGTTTCAGATATTTCTTATTATCATACAAATAACTGTAACATGTGAGTTCTTTTAGAATAGGCCATAATTTTATTTCTCATGCAACAATATATCTATATCCATTAAATGTCACTGTTGTATACGCCAAAAGAAAACAACTGTGAATGGTCAATAGAAAGTTTGTAAGATAACTTAAAATTTGAAACATTAAACCAACTTTTTTATCGTCAATTATATTTGGGAGATAAAATATCAAGACATTAGTATTAGAATTTTACATTTTATCAAGACAGGTTTGATTACATCTAAGATTTACAAAAATACTACTACAACAAACTATTCACAACTCACACCAAGAAGATTTTTTATTGAACCTTTTTACAACATACCTATATACTTAGAAAATGATTTATGTTTAATGGTTTTGTGCTTTCTAATTTATAGTTTTATTTTTATTGTAAAAAAACTTAATTTAATTTTCTAGATAATAATACAGAAATTGCAGAGTGGGTAACAGTTTTTAATTATTGATCCAAAATCTCCTCTCAACCTAGTCCTGGGAGTGTGGTTAAGCAAAGCACTGATTGTTCTATACTTGGTAAACTCCAACACAATTGTGCAATGTGAATTGATTGTTCACTAGGGTAAGTGTTACCAGATAGTTACTCTGTTCAACACAATAACCTTCAGATGATGAGTCGACTGGTTTGGAGCCTTCTCTCTTCTCTCTCACCCCTGTCTCCCTCTCTCCCTCTCACTCTGACCCAGTAATCTCCACCCCCTGCCACCCCCTCAAAATTCAAAGACATCTTATCACACCCTGTGGAATATTATCTCACTCAGGAAAGACATTCCACTCACTTGATGTGGCTCATCGGCAAATACAACTTCATTCCATTAACACTCCTTTAAAATATTTTAATACTTATACGTCAATTTCAAAATTTACTGGATACTTTCAACACGTTGGGTTGGAAAGAATTAGATTTGGATGTTAGAGATATCTTGTTTTGTTGAACAGAATATGAATTCATAAGTTATTGTCTAATGCAATGTTTAACAAACACAATGGGATTGATATTGTTCCATCATTCACTACCTACTTTTTTTAAAGTTAAAGATAAGTCTACTGATACATAATATGAATTTAGTAATTGTTCGATGATGATTTATAAGTTGATAGAAAACTAAATATTCACTACATTTTATTTATTCATTAAACATAATAGCATTACAATTTGTTTCAAACTTTGCTGTTTATTGTACTCACCCATCTTTTATACTTTTTTATATTCAGTTGGTGCAGAGGTTCTGTTCAATGAAAATTCCACAACACAGAAAAACACTAAAACTTCAGACTTGTTTACCAAAAAGTACTGAAACACTGAAAAATTACTGAAACAGTAGTTGACAGTATGAACCTAACGAGTTTTTTTTTCATATTTTGTATAATATTCTACAGTACATCTGACTTTTCAAGGGCTGTTCTTATTCTTTACTTTAGTGTGTTACCATGCTAACTAAAAAACTAGATGCTGCTAGACAATCTAGAGACATTCTTTGCAAATAAAGGATATGATGCCCTTGTGAAAAGTCACTACAAGGTTGCAATATTGGATGATCTTTAAACTCCTAATTATAGCTAACTTTCCCCATTAAGTCAACAAGTTAACTGTAATCTTTTAGTGTTGGTAAACAGTTTGTAAGTAGATTATGATTTAGAAAAGTGTTGTTAATTTGTAATGGAAATACTCTATGGAAATCTATTATTCAGGTCCAACCAAACCTATACAAACTCTTAACTGAACTAATTGCAACTTCTACATCAGGCAAATCACAATTGTTTTGCTTCTTCAGTTATCTACATATTTGTTTCAATCTCATTTATAAAATGATTAAATTTACTCTATATACTTGGATCCCATAAATTGTTATATGTCAAAATTATTGACACATGCCCAACATCAGCAATAGTCGAGTTTGTTTTTAGCTTTTTGTATTGAGCTTATTATTTATTTAAATGGGTTTTCATGACTGTTGATTGTTAAATATTGTCTTGTCAGGAGGTGCAGTCATAATCTAGATTACAAAAGGTTCAAATCTCGCCATCACTAATTGTGATAGAAAATGTTTGTAAATATTACCTGAACAATATTCAACATTTTTAACTTAGAATTTCATTTTTTAAATGCAATAGATTTATATAGATACAAATTCTCACAACACTAGACATACAATTTAGTGGTTTAAGAATTAGTTAAGGAACAGCAAAATATCCATCAGTATGTCTAGTGTTGGTTTTGCAGTTAGAAAACTCACTCCATTTAACTAAGTTATCACATTATTTATATTGCTGGAAAGGCGCAGTATTTGTGCCACATAGTAATAGAAAACTTACTACTCAGAAAGTTTCTGCACTCAGAAAGTTGAAATAAAAGTAAAATATGAGTGGGTGAATCATACTGCTTCTGCATGCTTTGTATCTTAAATTGGAAAATCGGATTTGTCCTATTAAAAAAATAACTGAATATTACGTAATAATCCCTTTAAAATATAGACATAGTCCATGATGACACAGGCCTGCAGTTTTCCTTTGATATGCTATGGGCCTTAGATATATTTGTGCCACCCCTTCCCTTGATATAAATCATCAAATAAAAACAATAATGACAATTTATAATAAATCATAAAATCAAACATAGATACTAGGGATTGGCGCATTGTACTTTTAGTTTGAAACGGGACAATATTTTTATTTCCTTCTCAACTTTCGAGACAGGAACAATACAAAATTTTTCTGCCCGTGCAACAAGGGGAAACTTTTATCTTGAGTAGAATTTCTTGCAAATGACAATAGTGATTAAACAAAATGTATCATCAGCCTGTATCGTACTGTTCAATGTCATACGACTGTAATCCGGGATCGTGGCACTATCATTATTATATTTCCGATTGCAGAAACATCGTCATGTTCTCCCCCAATCATGACAAAATTGTGATCATCTCCTACACCACGAACACATCATCACCTTGGATCTTGTCTCCAACAAAAGCTGCAAAATTGTGAACAAATTCCATGACCATGAAGTGGGTCCTTCGCGAGTGTCACACATGATCGTGGCGACAGTTGGTGAAAATCCCGCTGCCTACTTATCTAAGGCTACAATCACATTGGATGCACGCTTGCGCTAGTATTTTGGTGGCGAACGAGTGCGCAAACGTGCTCCTCGAATCAAAATCTGACTGAGATCAACAGAAACAAGTGGTGACTTGTCCATTGCCGCTCACACTGTCCGCCACCAGCAAGTGCAAGCTTGCTTAGACTCCGCACCGAAACAAAAATATTTGTTTCGTAGTTGCAAGTGTGCGTAAGTACCGTAGCAGGATCTCAGTTCAGAGTTCAGTAGGTTCCTGAACATTAAGTCGAGTAGCAGTGACGTGTTGTACCATGGATATGGAAATTCTTGCCTAAAAAATTTGATTACCTGCTTAGTGTAGGTGTTATTTTGTCCAGTATGTAATAGATAGTCTCTGGCGTCATTCTGAAGTACTGGAAAAACTTCACATGTTGTCTTAGCAAGTCATTGAAGATTCATGCATACCTTCATGCATCTTCCTCTCTGTCCACAAAATACTCGTTTACCCACTCATCCCTAATATCTTGTTCATCCAATAATAAAAACTTCAAAATACCACTTTCTAAAACAATGTCCTCGTCACCTGACATCCCCATTCAACTGACCTGTTTGTAATAATTAACTTGCAACTGCTTGCATTCAGCGTGAACACATCGCTGTTCATATAAGCTTGCGCACACGTGCACCACCAAATTACTTGCACAAGCTTGTATCCAATGTGATCCTAGCCTAGCTTATTTAAACATTCCTAAGTATGCTGGGTTGCTGAGTGGTTATAGTGCTTGCAACTGGGGAAAGTTAGTAGCAATTTGATGGTAACTCCTAGCTAATGAAACAGCTGTCTCACTTCATTCTATACTCTTTCTTCATTCATATTTGGGTAAAAATACTACCCGATTTTAGGGGGTATCCCTCATCTCAATTGGTAATACAATATAATAACATCATCTGGTGCTACAGCCTGTTGCTGGCTTTGGTTTCCATAAAAAACTTCCTCCAATGCTGTCAATCAGTGGCTTTTTATTTCCAGTTGCAGATTCTAATTATCTTTAGTTATTATATTTCTCCCTGAAATTGCGGCCCGTCGTTCTCTAACGAATATACTCAAATTAAAATAGTAAGCAAAACATGTCAATAAACGTATTCACAGGCCAACTAATTACATGTGTCTCATGTCATTGAATGTAACATCAGTAACTAACAAAGTGAGTGCAAGACAAAGTTACGATCAAGTAGCAACATAATGAGTGACAAGTGATAACCAACTAATCTAAAACCTCTTGCCATTTACTGAAGCAGTCCCTTGATGTCATGAATTAATTATTATCACTCTTAATCATAAAGCACATAAAATATTTGAAAACACAGATACATACTAATTCATGTTAACATAAAAAATCACTCTTATATTTAGGAAGTGTTCATAGGTCTGACAGATAATATTGTATTGATAATATGTTAATGTTAAATAGTTTAACAAATACATTTCTTATTGATGAATCAACTTGTTGAATCCTCAAAAATCTTATTAGATAGTGCACTGACATACAAAATTCAGTCAGTCCATAGCAGAAGTTGTAGAGAAGGAAATGTGTGGTTGTATAAGTAAGATGATTGTTTTGTTTCTAGCCTCGAGTGCATTTTATATTTGAGTTTAAAATAATGTATCCTATTTTCATAATTGATGTTGATACTGTAATTGAAATATAAAATATTGGAAAACATCTACTCTAATGTATAAAGCCATACACCAAATATCACTCGTATTTTCAGTTTTTAACCGTTACAATTTTGGTTTTCCGATACATTTTTCCGTTCCTTGACAGATCATTGTTTTGGATGGTGCACCGACAGATAAAAATCATGTCTGCCAAAGTGTGATGATTGTTATGTTGTTTACGCTGCAGCGCAGTTTGTATTTTTATCATGAATAGGTATAAAATTTACAAAAGTTTAGGTACTAATGTCATAACTTAAGGGAGAGCAAACTGGTCTAGTGGTAGAATGTGGGACTTCAATTTCTGAGGTCCTGGATTCAAATCCCTCCAAATCACCAATGGATGTTATCTAAGTGATAATGCCGCAACCCCTAGGTCTAGCCTGAAGTAATGTGAAAAACAATCCCGGGCTCGTGTCTAGGGTCCTAGGAAAAAAAAGTCATAACTTATTGCTCTTACACCTACACAAACAATATGTTGTTACTGCAAAATATGTAATGTCTCATTCATCTACTCATTTGTTAAAAAATAATATTTTGAATAGTGTATACAAGAGAAGAACTAGGTTTAGAAATGTGTACCCTAGTTACCTAAGTGTGATTGTTTTCTTATCTAGTATAGAGCGCACTTTGTATTTGATATTGGAATTATGAGTCCCATTTCCATAATAGAACTGAATAACCAATGACAAAAACATTTTGGATATCAATGTAAGAAACAAATTAAAATAATGGAAATGAGCAGAAGTAGGTTAGGAAATGTGTGGCTGCCTAAGTGTGATAATTGTTTTGTTGTCTAGCCTGGAGCGCACTCGCCTAAGACAGTCTACAAACTCTCACCGCAGGTATCGGTAGCTCATTGTTGTCGTGTTGGGTGTATGTGACTCCGTCCGTGACTTTGTTGTGTGCTTCTGTGACTGTAGTTTGTGTTTCTTCTGTCTCTTGTACCTCTGTTAACTTCTCGTCTAACAACTATCTTACAACGCTAGTTAGGTTCAACGTCATCTTTGGTACTAAAGTTTTAAGTTTGTTTGTTTAGTTCTGGTGTCTAGAAAGACTGGTCGAGGTTAACTGACAGGATTGTAGTTGGTGTGTGATGTATTAAAGATAACAAGATGTTTAAATCGTAATTATAATGGTGGTTATAAGTTGGTAGCATCACAATTTTAAAATCAATAAAATTACTTGAAAAGTCTCATTGCAATATATGTGTGAAAGAGCAATTTTTTGAACAGATATAGGGTATATTTATTGGAAAACTGGAAAACACCCAGGTGCTCACTTTAACTATTTTATCACCAAAATTATAAATAAATTAGAAAGTATCCCATGAATCATTTTTTGCCTTTCTAACATTAGAGTTTTCCATTAATGTCACAATATTAAAAGGTACATTTTTAAATTAACTGTTTATTTTGAACAAGAAATATTTTCATGATGGGTAAGCCTCTGGATCGAAAATTGCAATATAAAATGGTTTAAGTTACCTTTTGCGTCAAACGATCCTTGATGTAGTAAATAACTACAGCTGTTTCGTGCCGCTGGAGCACATCTTTAGGTTGTCAAGCGTTAAGATAATAAAGCTGTCATTCGTGGATGAGTTTGTTAAAATAAATAATTACACAAAATACACGAGTACGAAAACATTTAAATACACGAAAATCGTGTGTTCGTCACTTGGCCAAGTTTGTAAATTTGTCTATTTAAATGTTTTTGTATTCGTGTATTTTGTGTAGTTATTTATTTTGACAAACTCATCCACAGATGACAGCTTTTTTATTTTAACGCTTGACAACCTAAAGATGTGCCCCAGCGGCACAAAACAGCTGTAGTTATTTACTACATCAAGGATCGTTTGACGCAAAAGGTAACTTAAACCATTTTATATTAAGAACTATTTAAATAAAACTCTTGAGCTTTATCATAGTCTTAAGTCTTCTATCTAGTTCATCTTCATTCCTACACAAGAAGTTCTGTGATTTTTACTTTCTCTTCATGTACAGCCAGGAAAATTTTAAGGTACTATCAATCATGGAAAAAACAACTAGTATTAAAAAAAATTATCATTGCGTTTTTAAACTATACATTTATGTTTGATTTTTTCTTTAAATAATTTATGCAGTCTTACTCGATATGCCTTCTGTGTCTCTTGTAGTTGAAAAATATCTTTGTAATTTTTAAAAGAAACATACAGATAGAACAAGGTGGTTTCATTTCTAGTTTATCTACACTCTTTTGTTTCTACTGTGTAAATTTACATTAATATTATAATATGTTTAGCGATACTGATAGCTATACTAAGTCTATTTACTAAGTATATAAAAAAAATTGTTGAAAGGCCAAATAGATGAATACCTCGATAATAGCTGTTAAATTGTAATAGCAAACATGATAAGCAATGTTGGGAGTTAACTGAATAATAAATTATTCAGCCAAAATGTAATGGTCTGTTGGTCTCAATAATTCATCGATCTGTGTTTACTTTTTATTGGTGTGGGTACCAAATTTGTATGAAAAAATTCACACTCAATTTACCGAGAACAAAACTTTTATTAGATTGTTTTCATCTTCGACTTTTGTATACTGAAACAGACATCCAATCTATATGTACCACCAGCAGCCAATTTTCGATTAAAAATAGTTGAATGAGCCACTCACAGAATGTTTCATGGTCGAAAATTGTTCTCCCCGAGTTTTTGTTCAGGGACATAAAATATGTCAGTTACCGGCGGCTTGTCCGTAGGAGTATGTAAGCTTGTGAACCCCCAAAGGAACAGCTCACAAAAAGTAATAATAGCACTTGTATATACACATCAGATCATGATCAATTCCTTGGTAGATTTCAAAAGAAGCACCAAGACAAGCTACGTTGACTTGACCGTAGTGACTGCGATAAGGGTGTGGTAGTAAGATCAAACCCTTGGAGTTGAGCTGCCGGATATGCAGCTACTATTGCTGCTCTACCATAGGCATGGACGGGTCTATTTGCAGATGGGAGGCTGTTTAATTCCAAACAAAGCATACTAGGAGCTGCGACTGAGGTAGCTCTTATTGGCTGGTAGATCAACTCTAGGATCTCCGTACATTATTGTCTGCACACATTGCCACAGACACTGTGTGGTAGGATCACCTTTATATAAGCTTTTTTTAATTAGATATATTAAATAATAATGTTTATTGAAATTATTATACATCGTAGCAATGGAAAGTGAAATTGTACTGAAGTATTAATACTAATAAAGATTTTAAACAAATAGCGTTTGTAAGATTATTGGTAGAAGACAAGATTTTAATTACACAATATAGTATTGGTAGGCCTTTGCCGAGAAGATCAAATTTAAGGCAAATACCTCGAATGTAATGTAAATGACTGGGTTTTGATTGTTTCTGTGATTTCTATACACATATTCTTCTTATAAGTAGTTAGTTTTTCCCCCATCAGGGCTTTTGAACCTCCCAACTAATACGTCACCAGCTGCCATTGGCTATACATAGCTTACAATCAGCAGTTTGGCTATTTGACATACGCGACGGAAATAATTAGTTTACATCAGTGTTCTCTGGTGGTGGCTCAATTCAACCACATTATTTTTTATTCTAAAACTGGCCGCAACTTTAACATGGGAATGGAAAGTCTAGTTTGATCCATAGTCAAAAACACTCACTCCCTTCATATAGAATACCTTCTCTTCTTGGACACAGACTTAGTTTGTTAGAGTTACTTACCTACAATTGTTTGTAGGTCGCTGTCTCCGTCGAGTGCAGTTTCCGCCGAGACTGTCAGCCTGAGTGGAAATGCCGGCCCCGGAGCCCCCAGAGCCAACTCCCTGCCTCGACCCACCAGTCCTAGCCCTTCTGTTGTCAGCGAACGGGCGGAGGCCGAACTTCAGGTAACAACTAAATAATAGGTTTAAAATAACTAACTAGGTTTAAATTTAAACACCCAAAAATTAAATTATTTTCTCTAACTTATACCCAGTTGCCATTTATCATCAGGCAATAAATGTTTAATACCATAAAGCCATTGAAGTGACGTTTAATTCCTACTAGGCTAACTTAATACTTTTCTTGACTTTAGTTATGATGTGAACTGGTCATATAGTTGTTGTATAGTTACAAGACCAGGTTTTGAACTGTTTCCTGACAACAAAAAGACACAAAAACAGAACTAAAACAAAGCACAAACTTTGTTTTCTGCGGATTTGTCGTTAACAAGTTTTGTCAATAACTACTGCTAATTTGTATTCTCTATGAATTAAATTGGTTATAACCAAGGAAATAGTTTTTTAAAAGGTTTTTAATAACATATACATATACATATTTACGTGTAACATATACAAGATTTCTAACGTGTTATTGTATTTTTAAAATCTGTATATATCTGTATGTATCTGTATACACCTACAGTGAACTCAATATTATGTGGAATTTGGAAAAACATGATTCAATGAACAACGCATATGTCCATAACCATTTTGCCCAACCTAAAAGTAACTAGTCTATCAGGACCGCATCACTGATGCATCCTCTCAGTGAATTTTGTTGACAGATCAAGCTAAAGATTATGATCTAACTTCTAACTTATAGTAAGATGATCTCTATTATTACTGTAGGGCCAAACTGTAGGCCCCTTAGTTACCATTGGCTGTATTGGCTAATAATTAACAGCTGTGTCTAAGGAATATGTCGGCCTTAGTCAACAAGACTACAAGGTTGCGCCACTCATCCTACACTCATCTCCATTCATACTTGTCACCTACATTGGTATGGTCGCAATTTAAAAGTAAAGTATTAATTTATTAGGTTAGTTGAATCTTTGGTTATAATTACTCATACACTAAAAGCTAGTTAATTTAATAGATTGACATTGACGTACTTTTATCACAGTATAAAATAGCCTATTACATTTTTTTATTTTATCTTTGTATGGATTTCAAGCGTTTACCTTACAACAAAAGTCTTTAGGATTAGTTAATTGTGAGGTAAAATAAGATATGGGCTAACAAACACAGTCAGTGAGTCAGTAGAATAGCAGTATATTGTATTTAACGAAATACGATAAATATTAGGGTAAAACTAAAATGTAAAATAATTCAAAAATAAAAGGCCAAGCCAACGTTTGTGACTCCCAGGCTCCAAAGTAACTTGATGTTTAAAAATGTTTGCAGACGATATAAGCAGTGTACAAAATCACTGAGAAGTAAAATATATATCAATGACGAAAGTAAGATTGCATAATAATCAAAGACGTTATAACACCTTAAATGTGTTACCTTAGTTCGTTATCACTGAAGAGGCCTAACAAAATTAAACGATAACTGATAACAACATATTATTAATAACATCAATGTTATTACTTGTTCAATACAATTATTGAATGATTGATAATACATTTAAATAAGAATGAACTCCAATTTTTCGCCCTCACTCGTCTCATGGACCTCTCTGCTCACTGTTTCCCGCTCATCGGTTCGCGGGCCCCCCCTGTTACGCCACTGCAGATGCACTCTATTGGGGAACTATATTCTTTGGATGTATCTACTGGAAGTTGGGTTTAAAACTGATAGAATTTTTAATAACACCCGTAATCTCTAGGATAAACAAGAGCGAGAAGAAGAGGAGAGGAAAAGGCGTATCCAGCTTTATGTGTTCATTTCTCGATGTATTGCCTACCCCTTCAACAGCAAGCAACCAACCGACATGACAAGGCGACAGTTGAAAATAACCAAACAGCAGCTTGAACTCATTCAGGGAAGGTTTCAGGTAAATATCCTTAGTTAATAGTATTCGTAGTGATAAGCATTAGTCAACGTTTAAAATGCAAATTGATGGATAGAAGCAATTTACATCAAAAACATTGCAACAGATTTGGTAGCAAACTGCTGAAACTATGTCAAGCATTTATCTTACACATTTGCTAAAAACATGATTGTAGTTGTCTTAATATTTTCAATGCATTTTACTAACATTTACTCAGGGAATGCATAATGATAGGTTCCTTTTTTAAGAAAGCCAGGCTTCCTAACCATGGAATTGCAGCACGGCTAGTTTATTATACACCCTCATGCAAGAACAATATTCATTTTCTATAAAATCCCAGATCAATGACTGACCAAGATCTTCTTGATGTAATTTTCTTGTATTTACCCCTTGATCTCATCATTTCCTCCTGTTATCTACACTTTGTGCACAAGATGCCATCAACCAGGATTCCCATCTCTTATAACTATCCATTGAATATTCAATTTCCACAAAAAAATAGTCATCTCTTGCTAGCCTAGTACAATTTTCTCCTAAGACTTATTGCATTCGCTACTTCTGCACCAGTTGGAGCAACCATAATGCAGTATCCTCTTTGAACGTTACCTTCTGACCGTTCCTAGTGCTTACAGTGTATCAATTTTAATTTTTCAACCCTTTGTCCTTCCTCTGGCTAACAGGTTTCCATGCTATAACCACTTTTAAGTTCCCTCGTTCCCAGCAACACTCATACCTTGGAATCCAACAAACAGTGATTTAGGGGCACAGCTGGTCTAGTGGTTGAACAGTGAAACCTGGAGGCCTGCGAATCGTCAATGGCTTGCGATTATTTTGTAAGCTAGAGGTTAAAAAAATTTCCTTAATCTTAAAGTCCATCTACCTAGAAAACAATAAAAGATTGGGTTTTCTTTGTATTTAAAGACTCCTTCCACAAAAATTCATAAGATAATATGTTAATAATGATTACTCAGAATTAAAAGCTGTGTAAGTTTCAATATAACTAAATTGACAAACATAACATTTTATTTACTTTCCATAACATTTTCATCGCAGTGGTAGCAAAACTCCTATAAGAATATGATATAGTGTATATTGTTTTGTTTATCGTTCATCAGACTTAGTGAAAATCATGAAAAAAGACAAAAAAGTGAATACTGATCGATCAGTTAAAATATAAGCTTGCCCATGCAATGTAGCTGCCCAACTGTGTCTAATAAATTTTCACATTTCCTAGTCATATTTGAAAAAAAGGTAACCATTAGAAGGGCTGTGGTTCTCACTTATCTGTGGATACGATAACCTCTATTACTACAAATATTCAAAGTGACTAGGGTTGTCCATAAATTAAGGTCTCCAACCAGCTCCCGTCACGGCCAAGCCAGTTAGTTCAACTCTGAGACAAGCACATTTTTTTACTTCTTATACTACTTTCTAGCTTGTACCTGCTCTTATGTGACGCTTAGCCATTTCATAGTAGTAAAAAACAGTGAGAAAGAAATTCAATGCTCCCACCAAGTAGAAATGATGTTTTGTGATTTGGTATCAGTGGTCTAACTTTTTTGGCTAGAATAGAAGTAGATGAATTTAAGAACACCGTGTTGGTCTCAGATTTGAACTAGCTCACTTGGTCTCGATGGCAGCTCAATGTAGACCTCAATTTACAAACAACCCTAGTATGAATAAGTTAAATATGCTGTCAACAGTGTAACATGATCCTCAGGAAAACTCATTCTGCTAATCTTAATCAAAAAATGATTGAAGTCAGTATGCAGCATACAAGAAAGGATCACAGCACCTCTTTTGCCCTCAATAAAACTAAAGTAATTGTTTTTATTGAGAAGCAAGGTTATTTTGATGTTTTGTCATTAGATAGTAACAAGGCCAGGGTTTCGACTGTTCTCTTACAAAAATCGTAAGTAATGCTATTAGCCTTGAAAAGACCAAAATTGAATGAAATAAATCTACAGTATTAGTATTGTAGGTAATAGTTATTGTTTTACTTGTATCATAATAGTTTTCAATCTCCTCCTATGTAGACCTTAGGTCTAATCACAATTTTAAACTGTTTCAGAGCTTTCTAAAAGGTGATACACAAATAATGGCAGATGAAGCCTTCCAGAACGCAGTCCAAAGTTATTTTGAAGTTTTCTTACGTTCCGACCGTGTTTTGAAAATTGTTCAGTCAGGTGCCTGTTCTCAACATGATTTTAGAGAAGTGTTTAGAAACAACATTGAGAAAAGAGTCAGGTAAACATTTAAAAATAAATTATTAACGGTACTTTACATAAATATTGTATTTATTGATTTATTTTCATATATTATTATTATGTTGTTAGGCTTATTCTAATGACAGGATATATCTTTGCCTAACTGGTAAAAAAACCTTGCCTGCATGCTAAAAATTCAAATTCAAAAGAAGTAGTTGTTTGACATATTAGTATTTTATGTTTATGACCCATTAATAGAATGGCCGTTTACAAATTTTGTTTGATAATGTGTACAACCGCTGCTAATATACTGCACCACCAACTTCTTTTGGAAAAACTAAGGTCTTTGAAAAACATCTTAGATGCAGCAATACCTAAAGTGTCTAATCATAAAGAGAGTTAGTTAATGTTTAACATTGGTAATTTAACTTTTAGGTCTGCAATATTTGTCAAAGTTTTTATTCTTTTAGCTAAATGTTTTCTTCTCTTTGCAGATCTTTACCAGAAATTGACGGACTTAGTAAAGAGACAGTTTTAGCTTCATGGATGGCAAAATTTGATTGCATATTCAAAGGTAATGTTATGAAATGTTAAATATATTATGCAATATTTCATAATGTGTAACTTTTGTAATTTTATAACTATTCATTTGAAACTATTTATGTATATGAACAAGTAATAGGCAAATTTATTGCAGCAAATTGTAAACCAAAATGTTGTTACTGTATAATAATTTAGTATCTCTATTGGTCATATTAGTTGCGTAGTATGCTCAAGTCAGTTTCTAGCTAGGAAAAGTTGAATCAAAGAGTTAACTCTAGTTAGTGAATATACAAGAGCGGTTTCATTTTCAACCACCGATCGATCCGTGCAGACGTTACACGGGCAGAAGAAAGCCGGCATGCGACCAGTAGCGGCAGAACCGGGGCGTCAGGGACCCCCCTGAAAAATTAAGAAGGGTCAGGGGTTCATATAAAAAATAGAGTTGAAAGTCGCTGTGCAGTTTTCGGGAATTTCAAAGACTGAAGTTCAAATTAGGACCTACTGAGGTTTCATCAGCAAAAGTTTAAAAGACTTGTAGTAATTATCTTGTGATTCTCTTGTGAGATTTCAGCAATAATCCAACAAAAATGCTTTGTATTTCTTAGTAATTTAATGTTGAACCAATACAATGTTTGTAATGTTTCTTCGTGTAAACCATTATTCAGCCCCAGTGTACACACTTACTTGGTTATACCCTACCGTCTTACTTTTGTGATATACTATAATCAAAGCAGCCAATTTTAATTTAACTTATTACTTATTCAGTTTTTAGGGGGAGGGGGAGAGCTGGCCGAAATTTTCCGAACACATACAAACCTCTAGGGCCTAAAGCTTCTTTACTCTTCCCTGTCGTCTGCAGTAAATCATTTTTGACATCTTTAGTAAAAGCCGGGATCCAGTTATGTTACTGCTTGAAGAAAAATTTTCTTCAGGTAGCCTTAAAACACGTTTTACGGCTTTTATTTTTAAAAATTTTTCAAAAACGTGTTCACCATTATTGATGCTCTCGCCAGGTGTGAGTTGCGAAGGGTGATTTGTTTTCTACAGGCTGAAGGCCATAGTGCTGCAGAAATCCATATGAGAATGAGCTGTGTGTATGGGAAAAACTTCATGAGTGATGGTGTTGTGCGTGAATAGTTTAAATAACTGAATAGTTAAATACTTTAAATGTGGAAAGTTTAAAGATGGCCGTAATGATGTGCATGATGAAGGGGGTCAAGGACGTAAATCTATCGTTTCAGATTACCTGGCTCAAGGAGTTGACAGAATGGTTAAAGAAAACTGTAGATTCCCCATTACAGCTTTGCCAAGGAATTTCCAGAAGTTTCATGGTCTGTTTTGTACTCTATTGGTTCTGAACTGTTAGGCTTCAAAAAACTTGTGCATGTTCGGTCCCAAAAATTTTGACGGACAGCCACAAAACTCGAGGAATAGCGCCAGGTTGGGAATTCCTTTAGCGTTATCATGTTGAAGGAGACAACTTTTTAAAATCAATTGTGACTGAAATGTGAAATGTGTTTATTGTCTTGTGAATTTATACAAATTATTGATAATGTCAGAAAACTGCTAAAATTAGCAAAGTCAGTTAATGAATACAATATACAATATGTACAATAATACTACACACAAGGAGACATGTTACAATACATACCCTAATATTACAACCAAATAATCTTGTTGCTAAGAAAAATGCAAGGCATTTGGAATAATGGAAGTTAAACCCCATAACCAACTAAATCCAACAGTAATTTGGTAAATTTGGTAGCTCTACTTAAAAGCTCTACTGAGAATGAAACCTGGATTCAATACAATACATCAGAAACAAAATGACAATCACAACAATGGATGCATTCAAATTCACCAAAAAAACCAAAGAAATTCAAACAAACCTTCAACAACAGAAAAACAATGGCTACGGTACTGGGTTTTGGGACCAACAAGGTGTGTTGCTTGTAGAGTTTATGGGGCCCGGAACCACGATCACTGCAGCTGTTTATTGTGAAACTTTATGACCTTTGCGTAAATGGCTTCTCGAACAATTTGGATACATTTTCAATAATCCGCCATACAGTCCTGACTTAGCACCCAGTAACTTTTATATTTTTCCTGAACTGAAGACGTGGCTTGGTGGGAAGCACTTTCAAACTAATGAGGACCTTCAAACCAACGTCAAGGACTACTTGAATTCAAATGTCTCAATCTCTTTGGTGATTATGTCGAAAAGTAACCGTAAGTGCACCAATACCAATCTTTTGCTAGTAAAATTATTGCTTTATATGAACTTGTCTTTTAATTATAGCCTATCTGAGGTTGAAAAAAAACTCCCTATATATATCTGCAGTAAGCTTGATGGCACTTAGGTTATGTGTGCAAGATGATGGTATATAATATGCCCATGAATTGGGTAAATGCACTATAACTATTCCACTATGGAAGTGAAGGCAGAAAGATTTTTCAATTGAATTCTTAAAGGGGCAGCATTTTCCATGAAATGTGGTTTTCTTTACTCATGGCATCCTGAAAGACCAACAGTAAATGTTAGGTTATGTGGACTCTTTGATTAGAAGATTTTAACTACGTCAGAACACAAACAGGAAAAATACTATATTTTGGAATTTATCATTCCAATAATTTTAACCAAATCATCCATGTGAGATATTTTGGGTATTTTTTATGCTATGTCACAGGTAATGTATGGTAAGACGAGTGCTGTAGAACTTCAATGCAACTCTAGTGCTTGCAGGTGACATTCAACATTCAACACATTATTTAAGCATCAGTAAGTTAGGTGCGGGCTATGGTGTTGCTAAATGTTGTGGCATAGGTACGTCAGATGAAATCGTGACTGTGATTTCAGTGGGTGATGACGACTCCAAGAGACCATCGCGGATGCAGCAGCAGACTCTCAACAGTGAGCTGGTCCTCTCCAAAGAGCAACTCTACGACATGTTCCAGCAAATCCTCGGTGTCAAGAAGTTTGAGCATCAGTTACTGTTTAATGCTCTCCAGGTAAACAATATTGATGTTTTGTTGTTTTTCTGATAGCATTGACTTTTGGATACTGACGTAGGCTATACATCCCATCTATATGGAACAACTGTGGCCAATTTTTATTTAAATAAAATTTAGTTAAATGAGCCCCCCACTACTGTCAACATTCTTTTCCCTCTCTTAGTTTAGACACTATTGTTTACAATAAGTTGTACTTTCAGTTGGTTGAAATGTTGAGGTAATTGAGAAAAATTAGTAATTAATTGACGTCAGAGCACTCTGGGGGTTTCTTAATTCAACTACGTTAGTTTTTTTTCTAAAACTAGCAAGAGCTTTAACGTTGGAATGGGATGTTTACTTCTATTGATATTCAAAAGTTGTGCAAGGTTAGGCAAGACTTACAGGTTATGCACTTTACAATGGGTCACACCTGCTAAAAAAAAAACTGTACACATTTTTCATATGGCACAAATAGTGCATTTTTTGGTTGGTGTGACAATTTTTACTGGGACCCCAAAATGATATATTTTGGGGACAACTTAAAATTTGTAATTGTAAAGCCCCACCTAGTGACTCCTCATTTTAAATGCCTTTTCAAAAGCAAAATAGGTTAGAAAGAAAGTGTAACAATTTTTTTCCTTATCACATTTTAGAAAAATAAGGTTGTAAAAACTTAATGCCACTTCTTATTTCAGCTTGATTCTGCTGATGAACAAGCTGCTGCTATTCGAAGAGAACTGGATGGGAGGATGCAGAAGGTGGCAGAAATGGAAAAGGTAACTGATAAATGAAATTAATCCATTAGGCTGCTAGATTACCTGTATCTCAATCAATCAAATCTTTTATTGTAGTCAGACAATATACATTGTATTACAAACATCAACTTAAAAGACTTCTAAATATAAACAATAAAATAATGCTAATGAAAGTACAAAACTGGTACTATAACGCTGATAACACATTAAATTAATAAATACAGAGCAGGTGGACTTATAAATTGGGCTGTTAAAAAAATTCAGCAACAGAGTAACATGCACGTTCTAAAAGGTATTCTTTTAACTTAATTTAGAATTTTGCTTCTGACTTTAAGGATTGTAGATTGGCTGGTAATTTGTTAAGCAGTTTTGGCCCGAGATTTTGAGGTAATGATGCAGCTAATTCAAATCTATGAGAGGTTTGTCTATGATGGTGTCTTTGCCTGGTATTATAATTATGAATATCTGCACCGGTTACTATTGTTGTTGATTTAAACCTATAATAGAATTAATAGAATTATAGAATCTTTAGGAGATTTTGAATAACCTGATTACATTTAAGTGGTGCAATTATTTACATTGTGTATCATTTATAACTACTTTCACTTAAAATAATTACGTTTACAACTTTTATCATACAAACTGTAATTAAAACACCAATTTATATAAATTATTTTATCATAATGATGAGGTAGGATGGATTTATTAAGGCACAATCAAACCATGATACTCACAATTATCTCTTAAATAAAGTAAACCATGATACCTGTATGTTGCACCAAACTTAGCAGATTTTCATATGAGTTATAGGTTATTGATAAAAAGGAATGCACTCTGAATCTCCATGTAAAAAACTTTAGCCCAGTCGGTGTCTAGATTTGCTAGTACGAGGGACTAAAAAACCATTTTTTTCTTTCAAAAACAAGTAAAGGAGTTTCAGATTTGGTGCATTACATAGATAACATAAGGTATTTTAGAAAGTTAGAAACTTGAAACAAAAATGTACAGTGGTCGTATTCTAGTTATCACTGTAAAAATATGGTAATAGAATTTGCTCCTGTGAAATTAAGTTACAGTAGAGAGTCGATTATCCTAAACAATTGAGAAATTGAGGTGATTGGATATAAAATTTTCGTTTAGTCAAACATTTAGTCATCAACAGGAAAAACGAGATACGATACCCTAACTTTGATTGATAATACATTAATTTATTTTTACATGTGAACATGTATTTTTTACTTGTTTTGATAATCTCCCGCGATTGTAGATACACCAATGAGTATATCTTACGGTCTTGTTGACACCAGCAACCGTCTCCTGCTATCACAGAACACCCATGTACAGCTGTCACTTTTTAAACCTGTGATTAACACTTGATTTTATTTAATTTTTTTCTTTCTTCCTTCCTTTCGGTTAACTTGGACGCCGTCAGACCAAGCATTGGTTCATCTACTGTATTTTTCACAGCTGTGTTTCTTTACTGTATTTCATTTACTTAATTTTACATCAGTATTTTAATTTTTGGATCATTCAAGAATCATATTAAAAATCCACAGCATGCTTATAAAGATTTTTTTAAGAACTAAAAAGCTATCTATATTTGCTGTGTTTACTCAGATCACTTTTCCTCTTTCCAGTATGCACTCTCAAGAAACAGCCGTGTGAAAGCTCATTCCTCAGATATTAGTTTAGTTCATTCCTGCTGTTGCTGTTGCTGTTGGTCAAATTTTGGATGAATCCAAAGTATATTTACTTTAAATTACACTACTTTTTATCTTACTGTGCATCCATAAAAACTGCCTGATGTTTCAGAATAGGAAGCTGATGCCAAAATTTGTTCTGAAAGAGATGGAATCGTTATACATAGAAGAACTGAAGGCATCGATAAATCTGTTAATGGCCAACTTAGAGTCTTTGCCTGTTTCCAAAGGCTCAATGGACTCTAAATATGGCCTTCCAAAGCTGAAACGGTATAACCACAGGTACGTTTAACAAAATCTCAATGTCTGCCATGCTGCAACTTACAATGGATGTTATGATTGAGTCTGCAATGATCTAGGCACAGTATAGTAATGATTTTATACCGAGTGCTTTATCAGTAATCGGTTTTAATATTTTATTATTTTCAAATCATAGAACTGTGATTGGTATTTTAGCTGTACAGTTCATGTTCACTGATGCCTAGGATGACTGGTAAATTAACTTATATTTTAAAATTTGCTTGTACTTTTTAAATCTTGATGCTCAGTTTTATTAAAATTAAAGATACTGTTTGACGTATCATTAATATTAGCAGGGCTAGTTTTTTTTCTAGAAAATCTAAGTGGAAAGAAAACTGTCTCACAAGTATTTCAGGTAAATAAAATAGATACAAGATCGCTTGTTTGTTTAGCGTAAGAGAATTCATTCAATCATTTTTAAGTATCATGTAATTTTCTGTAGATACAAATATGACTGTATTTTTTTTACAATTCTTACAAATTTTATAATTTTAATTTATGCTGTTTCGTCATGGAACATTAAAGATACAAACAGTGTTCTACATCTTTATCTAACTATCCATTCATTTTCTATATTCTTCTCAATTCTTTAACAGATTGCATGAACTAATTCGCTTTCTGTATTTTGATCAAACAATTTGTCGCCAAAGTTTAATACCAATAGTTAGGTTGTTGACGATTTTAGTACTTGCCAAAACGGGCTAACAGCATAGGCAGTAGCAGAGTACTTGAATATACTCGTATTGAGCTTTAAAGTACTACTAATGCATGTGCTAGTATCAGGCAAGACTGAACGTCTCTGCCCACTGTTGGAGTCTGGTTGTTTTTAGGCGAAGTAGAAGTTCTCGCCGCCCAGTAGATGCTGTACTAGCCGTGGGACAAGATCTGAAAGGTTTAATAAGGTATGACATTGAGTTGACTTATTTCGTAGGCTACCAGTTATGTAGAGCTTGACATTTCAAATAAAGGTACATCTCTAACATGACCAGCTCGAGTTCAATGCAGACTACTTTCAATACATTGTGTCGTGTCTATTCATAGTTATCTCTACCAAAGTAGTTATCTCTATTAATTGTGTCTACTTGTAGTTGTGGAAATACAGGTGTAAGCGACAACATGGGCGTTAGTGGTTGAAACTATTTTCGTTTGATTGTTTTTTTTGTTTTTTTTCATTGATTCATCCTTTGTTAAACATCTTTGCAGGAACTGTAATGGACATAAACTTATTATTATTTGGTTACGATGTGGTTAAAATAAGAAGAATTTTAAATTATATATTTAAGCAGTACAGTAAGTACTCTCCACACTCTAAGTTTAAACAGTATATTTGGGAAATAACACAAAATAAACTATTCACATACACAGCATGGATTAGTCTTCAGTTTAATGACTCACATGATCCAAGAAGATGCATTGAAATTAAAATCATGAAAGGAAAGATACTTCTTATTTTTGTAAACTAACACTGTTTAGGATGTAGTTGCACTTTTATTGAGTGGGTTTTCTGGGGGTCAAATTAACAAAGTGCTGCTTCAGTTGGAAATTTTAATAATTTTTGGGAAGATTTAATTGTTTGATAAGTCTTAGTCCAATTTCGGAAAAGTTCCATCCCATTTGGTGTTTCCTTGGTGTTTGAACGTTGGTATATAATTTTGGTGTTTGGTGTTCCTACATATGGTGTTTGCCGTTTAATAAAAATGAAAATGAAAATGAAAATGAAATCCCCATTCAAAGTCACAACCTTTTCCCTTTCATTGGGACTCAAATCCATGTAAACGTTCACAAACCCATAGAAATGTATCTTTTACTTAATGATAAAAAGGCAAAGTTAAAATAGAAACCTTTTGCAAAAAAATGAACTACTAATCACACAATTGATCATTTAAACCCAACAGTCGATCAAACAATTATTCATTTAAACACAACAGTCGGTTGCACAATTAATCATTTAAACACAACGGTCAATCAGACAATTAATCACTAAACACAACCGTTAATCACACAATTAAACATTTGAACACAACAGTCGTTCACACAATTTATCATTCAAACACAACAGTCTATGACACAATTAATCATTCAAACACAATAGTCAATCACACAATTAATCATTTAAACACAACGGTTAATCACACAATTAATCATTCAAACACAATAGTCGATCACACAATCATTTAAACACTACATTCGATCGCACAATTAATCATTGAACACAACGGTTAATCAGACAATTAATCATTCAAACACAACAGTCTATCACACAATTAATCATTCAAACACAAGTCTTTCACACAATTTATCATTAAACACAATGATTAATCACACAATTAATCATTCAAACACATCAGTTGATCACACAATTAATCATTAAACAACAGTCGTTCACACAATTAATCATTCAAACACAACAGTCTACAATCAATCATTCAAACATCAGTTGATCACACAATTAATCATTAAACAACAGCTAATCACACAATAAATCATTAAACACAACAGTCGATCACACATTTAATCATTAAACACAACGGTTAATCACACAATTAATCATTACAAATCTCAAGACTCACAGATATGCTGTAGTATAGCTTTATTCATTTGATTATATTATAAAATGTTGTTCACAATGTTGTTGATGTTTAGCAATTCATGTTGTTCATGTTGTTAATTGGCAATTGATAACAAATTGCCAACCTATTATATTGGTTTTCATCATAAAAGAAAAGTTAATTAATGGACGTTGTTTTTTCAATACATATTTTTAACTAGATTGAAGCGGTTAAAACGTAAGTTACTGTGGTGGGTAGATAAATTTTCCATCGAAATTCCAAAAAACATTTCTTCAAGTAGCACAAAAAACACACATGTATCAATCACAAGAGCGTTTATGGACCCTCATATTCACATGGTTCAAGGTGACAGGAAAGAAAGAAACACGTGTTTGGCATTTTTACATGCAATGTCATTTCATCATTCATTTTATATTCTCAAATAAGTTTATGTGGTCATTTAGAATATAGGAAAGGACTTCTATTATAGTCTGAAATACCTGTGAGTGTTAAGGTCCTAGGCATCAGGGTCATAAGGTAAATCATTCACTATGTAGCATATTGCATTTATGTGTTTGTATTGCATTATTTTCTTGATATGATTATAATGTGTCAACTCTCACACTCTCACAAGTTATTGTAGTATAGAATGTGTTTATTATAATTTCTGTTAATTTTTGGCGCTTTCCCAATTAATATTACATTTTAGAAGGTCAATTATTTTAGGGAATGGAATCAAGTTCAATTCAATAAAGTTCAATCAATTTTAAATCAAGGCTGAGTTTGATAAAAAAATCCTAAATAATTATATTGTTTACAAAATATCTATAAGCACATTCTTCATGAAAATTTTTTGAAAATTTTATATTCATAAAAAGTAACTGTAATTGAAATACCTTGAAACCCTGCTTTAAACATATCAGATGGGATTTAAGTTTAACTGATCTAGATTATTTTTCTCATTCTTAGTAATAAAAAAATAATTGTACACCAGTATCAATGTGTTTGTTTGATAAAGTTGAATTCTATTTTTCCACTTTATATATTATATTGTTATTTAAGAGTCTGTTAAATATAGCCAATACTTTTGTTTTCACTTCCCAATTTCAATAAATACATCAATTCCTTCGTTTTTTTTAAATCACTAGGTTTCAGTAATTAAATAGTCTGCAATAATAATATGAATAATTTTGTGTAAATCATCCAAAAGTCTTTTTGATACTAAACATTAAATTAAAAAAATTTTAGAGATTTAGTTTGGATCTCTTTTGGTGTATATATCCTAATCAATTTTTTTGTAACCAAGAAAAGAAACATCCAACAACTTAAAAACTTACATTCAAATGCCAGAAACATTATCCTCAATGTTTTGATTTGGTAAAAAATTAGATTTCCATAAGGGTCAAAACAGTTCTACCCAATGGGAGGAATTATTTAACAACTTTTCCTGATGAAATTTCTAACAGTGAAATCTGACTGATCGCTTTTATTCTCTTGAAGCCACATAAAAATGCACTCAAAAACCACGTTCCATTTGAGTTAGGGAACAGAGCGCAATATTGTGTTATTTGTTTCCACAAGCAACGTTGAGATGCCTCTTTATCTCAGCCTTGGTGTGATCATGGAATGATACACATGTTTTTTTCTGATCATGCAATGCTTGGCTTGGGGCTATAGTCGACGTAGGAGTTCTCTGCTAAGGCAGGTAGCAGATAAGCCCTCTGGATGTTTGTGTGTTGTATTTGTATTGTACCTTGTATGCATCTGCATGTTATTTAGTCCACTATATGTTTTATTGTGTAGTTTTGTTGTTCCCTTGTTGATTTATGTAGATGATAATGTAAGCTAATTTATTGTAATTTAAATATCTGAATACTGAAGATTTAGTCCAATTTTGATTTGGCAACCTTTTAAAAGCAGATTTTTTACGATTCTTTGAGTTGACTAACATTGAATTTGAGAAGTATTATAATATTGCAATTCAAATTATATTATCATAATATCAATTAAAATAACATAGCAAATCATCAATCTTTTGCGATATTAAGTCTTAATATTTATTAACATTTATTCAATACTAAAAGACAAATTGCTGTGTGAAGTTCTCATTGCATATGTTTTAAAAAGTAGACTAAATTTGTGTTGCACTTGTCAGCATATTATTGAAGCTGTAGGCCTACTTATAAATATGGAAGCATGTTTTTGCAAAGAAATTGTTGTATCCCAACCCGAAATGTTAATGTCATGGTTATGTTCCATACCACCTTTTGGACTCCTTCCTTGTCTTAAAAAGGTCCCCTAATTAGTTATTTTTGAAATGCTTTAAATAAACTTGTAAAGTATGGTAACATAAGTTTTAAATATCTATTCTTAAATCAATTTCATTGAAACATTATTGTAGTTATTGATAAAATTTCAAACTCTAACTAAAATCATGCTCTATAAAGATAACTGAAGATTTATGTAGTCTTAGTGGTGAGAAAATTGAGTAGGTAAATAAAGTTACATGTCTTAAGGATATTCAATCCTCGATTTGTTATATCCAATTGTAAATTATAAGAAATTAAAGCTTGTTTATTGTAGATAGATATATTGACTCAAGGTCTTGGTCTCGAGTTGGTGGTTGTTCCACTAGAAGGGAGTAAATTAATTGGATGATATTAAATTAATTTTCAAATACATTTTTCTTTATTTTTAAGCTATTATTTAATTTTACAAGTAAAACTAAAGTTATTGCTTTTTGGAGACAAGTAAGAATCTAAATGCAAGAATGTGATGTATAAGATTTTAATTCTTAAAATTATTCAATCTTCACTTTTTAGCTTGTAGTGAGACATTTATTTTTTAGAGTTGTAGTTTATTCACTCGTTTTTATCATTCACTAACAGACTTACTCAAAGCAATGCTTTATAATGTAGGAAATATTCAAAAAAGCTTGGTTTCCTTTTTATGTAAAAACTATCATGGATTATTCCATCTGTAGTCTTATGACGGTAAGAAAATTATTTAACTCTTATAGTCGGTAGAAGCTGACACACTTTTACTCCAAGAAGTCTTTTTTGTCAGAGCTTTTTGCAGTTCTACATGTTTTAGGTACCCAGGCACAAAAAAACAGGTTTTCGAGTTGGCATCAGTCTGTTTGTGAGTATAATAGAAATTAAACGCATGGAATTACACTTAAAATCAAATTATTTTATATATTGGTGTGAGATGGAGCCTGTTTCTTCTTTCTAGTCAAATTTATCAATTACAGTTTTAGGCTGCTTCATCGACGTTCTGATTTTATTTCCTTATAATTTGATTGATGGAGTAACATAAACCAAATATACCTTTAATCTTGTAAATGTAGTTTAAAAAATCATAAAATTCAATTTTCACTTTATACCAGGTTGAGGTCAACCTTCAATTTATATTTGTAAAGTTTTTTTTTTGACCTGATTTATTTTTAAAATAACTCATGATGAATCATTTATAACTTAGTTGATCGTTTGGAATATGTCCACTACAGTATTGTGTATCAATATAAACCCCAGTGATCTTTATTATTCTAAATAAGCTGTAACAATCTCTTAAAACGATATACTAATCTGTACATTTTAAATCTGAAGTTATTGGTTTTTTTCTGCGCTTAAATTATTGACTGGTTTAAGTAATAATATTGAAAGACAATATGTGTGTGTTCTCTTTTAAGTTATTACACATAAAATATTCATTAACAGCATATGATTGTAGCTGTTATGAGTCAAAGTTTAAAGGAGCAGGTCTATTTTGTTCATGAAATGGCATGTTTTGTTTATTATCCTTCAATATAAGAAAATGCATCGATGATATTTTATCAATACATATTCAACTCATAAGCATCCAAAATTTATATCTCTTATGTTATTCTCATTTGTTAACTTTTACTTAGAACTTGTCATATGCCAGTTTCCTACTTAGGCTTTGATAATTGGCATGATCTATTTCTTAATTGCAGTTTGAGCATACAAAGGGTATTCAGTAATGCATCCACAATCTTTTGGTCTTAAAATTACTTATGAATTAGTGTTGATGTAATTTTAAAGTCCATATCAAGCTTGTCATTATTTAGATTGAAACTTGGTTCACACTATTGGATATTCAATTATTATTTAGTACTACGTTCCATCAAATAGAGAGCATAATAAAAGCCATAGAAATGCATGGATTAAAAGTTGTGCTTTTCAATTGCGTAGCATAGCAGCAAAGAGAGGCATGTTCTCAGCTCATTATTGATTTAAAGACTCATCAATATCTATAAAAACATGTTTAATTTTTCATTTCTGAAATCACAAATGAAATCTATACATATTTCATATTTTTATTCTTATGACCGCCATTTTAAAACATTATTTAAGGTTACTATTTAAATAAATTTACACCTGTTTTTTTTTTTTTTTACATTCATAGCCAACCATATTATTGGAGACAAACTTAAAAAAACTTATCCAATTATATACAATATTATCACCGATTTAGGTCAAACCCCACCCACATCTTATCCAGTGCAGAGAGTTGGCTAATACAGTAACAACAGTCATATACCCACACAATACACTACTGAATATAGTACATTAAAATGGTCATCCAACATTTTTGAGTAAATTTTTTTGGATGTTAATACATTACTTCTCACGGGGGAAGATCTGGTATTGAATGACATAATATCTATACCCTTAGTGATATGGGCAATATGGGAGTGCCCCTGATTGAACATATTTTGATTGCTGTTCAGGGGGGTCCGCGGAATTGGATAACTCTGGAACTCGCTAACCCCATGTTAAATTCCCTATCTCCAAATTTGGTCGATGAGCGGAACTAGCTTACTTGTTCGGTTTCAGAATTGGCTTACTCCGGAACCCGGTAACCCGCTTTAGAGCCGGGTTAGCGAATTCCGTCCTAGTACGGAAGTCGCTAACTCAGTCCCTCCGCGGAACTCGCTAACTCCCAATCAGAAGCCTCGCACGCAGACCAATGGGCACAAAGATTGTTGGCCATTGTTGGCAAAAGTGTAGTACCTACCTACGTTCGTATCGGTACCATAGTGTCGCATCCTACGAATAATTAGGTGTTTCAGCAATTTAGTCGATGTGAAATAAATGTGTACTCAGAAGGATATACCAGACTAATCAGGAGACCATCCTAATGGGTGATTTATAAATTTCAATCAATCCTCTTGTTTAGGGTTTCCTTCAACTTCCAGTTGTCTATTCATTTACTGATTAATATCCCCACAAATATAAACCGTGTACGCAAGATCGAAACTAAAAATATCGAGACAAAGCAAGAGTGGAGGTGACACCATGCTGTACAATCTAATGATGGTCGAAAACATAGATTTCGAGTCTCAAAGCTGAAACAAGATAAAATATTAGAATCCCAAAGCTCAAAACCTACACGCAAAACGTTTACTTGCCTGGTTAAGATTACAAAAATTCAGGTAGGGTGACTTGCCCAGTGAATTACCGGTTAAGGTAAAATATTTTTGTTAATTTACAATGCTCTCAAATGAGAGTATTAATGCTATATATTATAATACCTAATTTTAGTTGATATTTAAGGGTTTGCCCTATATAATAAATTGTTCATAAAAGATCAATCACGCATGTAACAATTTTTTTTATTCATCAAAGTCATGAGTCCAGTAAATGACCGATGTCATACCAGTGAATGACCAACTTTGGAAGGTTTAGTAAATCACTTATAAAATCAGTAGCATAAAAAAAGGGATTTATATTGTTTAAAAACTTTGACAAAGTTTAAAAGAAAAAGCCTAAATCGGGATAAATCGTAACTCTGGATTGAATAAAACATCAATCAATAACCATTTCAATGACATATGTTTACTAGTAAAAATAAGTACATGACTTAATATAGAGTCCGGTCATTTACTGGTTAGGACAAAGAAAATTAATTATAATTTTAATCTGATAGCGATAATTATATTTCTAAATAATTTCTGAGCATTTTGATAGTAAATAATTGTTAATTAGAGTCCAAACCGAGTAAATGACCGGACGGTCATTCATTGGTTTAGCCCAGGAATCTGTTCCAGTATGTGATTGCTTGAATAAAAATGTATTTTTTTGCTTATGTATAAAAACAGATAGTTTTAGATTAATATACACTCTTACTTTTAAGTATTAGCCAAAGAAATCACCATTTCAACAGCTTTTTCACAAAAATAAGGTAGTGAAATATGCCTTACCTGCATTGTTCTTATATTTACAGAAGCTAAAAACGAAAATTCAAAACATGTCCAAGATAAATAATTAATAACTGATAATTTAATATGAAGAATAGAGTAATATCTATTTTCTAAACTATTTTTTTTCACTCCCGTCTAGGGTGAAACGGTCATTCATAGTCATTCACTGGGCAAGTCACCCTACTGTAAAAATAACATATGTTTTATCATCCAATCAACACTGAAAGAAATAATTGGGCTTCTGAATCTGACATAATAACTTGAATAACATGGCTAATACCCTTTAAACTTAAAAACATAATTTTTTATAGACAAATGCTACAATAAATCAAACCTCTGACACTGACATCAGAGGTATGAATAATATTAATACTTATCTCGAACCTATAATACTTTTTTTTATAAACAAAAATCATTGAAATGAAATAAATTAAATGCCTGACACTGACACAATTTAACAAGAGTATGAGATCAATACCTACATATACTGTACTTGGTTTTGAATCTCAAAACTAGCTGATCGAATATCAAAACCAAAGATTTTTCAAAGTTTTGGTAGTTTCAGGATTTGAGATTCGGTTTTGACACATCACTAGTACAATCCTTGCCCAAAGCATTGTTAAGCCGGGTTACTATAATGTTGACTTCTAGTAAGGCACCAAGAATATAGACATTTAGGAATCAGGAATTAGTTAAATTTAATATTTCTATTTTGTCCTTCTCTAAAATACATAATTCTCTTCAACATAATTGCTGTGTCAATTCTAAATTTTAATACTTAAACCCTAAACATTCTTTTGAATTATTTTAAGAAAAAAACCCCAGGCAATATTCTTCCAGCTACCTCTATGTAATATGGGCAGGATAGAACAAGACGCTGCCACTTCTGTTCCCCATCTCAATGTTGGTTCTGTTCTGGGCCATTGTCAAGATTAAAGTATTATCTTTGTACTAAAGTACGAAAACCTGTATTTTTTATGTGTTTGGTATCATTGATAAAGACAAAATATTATGAAGTATTCTGCACTGGATATAATACGAGTGGGTAAACCCCCCAAAAATAGACAATATGATACATCCTATTGTTAAAGAACTTTTTATCTCTTGTTGCCTTGTATTATAAAAAATATATAATTCTGCCATAAACTTAAATTTTAACATTTTATTCTAATATCTGAATTGTTCTTACATTATCAATGAAATGTAAGAACCTGTGAGTAATAGCCTATTTTGCTATATCAAAATATTACATGCAACTAAACACTATTATTTTTATTCCCCTTAAATAGTTTAGAAAAATCGCATAATTTTAAGTTTGCTGATGTAATTGCAAAATTGTCAAACAGACCTATAGTTGTTTTGCATAGCTGTGAAATAAATTTTTAATCCCCGTACTTTTTGTATGCTGACATACATTATTAGTTTATGATAGAATAGATTCCACAGAACACGACCCACATTTATCCACAAATTCATTTTTTAACACATTTTTATCTTTTTTTGTACCTTTGATGCCCAGGAAAGTAAACATAACCTGTTTTACCTTGAAGTATTCTTAAAAGACAATAGGAATTATACAAATTGCTTTACACACAACAAATAACAATCAACACAAGAATTTACAGTAAAATTTGAATTATTGTACTTTTGAAGTTGTAATACTTATGTAAAAAGTCCACTATTTTCAAAAATGAAAGACATTTATTGTAAAGGTATTTAATTTGTTGGAATTGTATTGGAGGTACCGGTAGTAGCAATTTTAAAATATACCTTTTGAATTTGAATACTTTTTAGCCAGAAGGGATGACAGACTAAAAGATTGTGGCAAAACCCCTGTGTTACTGCCACAAGAGTCGACGTTATTATTAGATTCAGACTGCATCCGTGCGCATCTGTGACTGCTGTCTTTTGAAGA